TCTCTCAGATCTGACATTATTTCAGTTTTCCCATAAGGAAAATTCCCATTAGGAACTTTTTCTGCAAGGGGTGCATTGTATTGTATTTTGATTTTATAAATCTGCTTGTCAAGATTTAGTTTCTCTCTGCACATGCCAAAACCAGTGACGAAACACAACTCAGTGTCCTCTGATAACCTCTGCTTCATAAAGGATTTGCAGCAATTTTCTTTCTCTGCATTAAATGGCTGTGGCAAAGCTGAATCTGTTCTTTAAACACAGTTGCTGTTATCACTGGCATACTTTGTGAGTGATTTCGTGGAACAGTGTAGTACATTGTAAAGTCTAATTAAACCATGCTTGTTTTCCCCAAATTGTTGATTTCTGAATATGCAATTTGCATTGACTTTAATCAATTGAGTAGACTGGTCTCCGGAGGGCGATCGCTCCAGTGTTCGTAATTGCTGTAGCGTAGTTCATTAAGAACTATTGCAGAGTTCCCCTGGGAACGATTTCCAAAACATTGTCTGCTTGCTCCAAGGTGAGGCTGGGGACAAATGCCAAGGAGTCAGGAGCAAAAGCGGGGGATTTCAGTGAAGTGCTCCTGCATGCTTGGCAATTCACAGCTGTCTTCGTCTAGGAGAGGAACAAACCATAATTGTTCCTATTTTCTTCCCTCCAGTATATTTGAGCACAGAAGAAATCGTTTTCCAGCCTTCCTTCTGTTTTTATTATTGTTCTTTTGGTGTTTTTTTTTGGTGTGTTTGCTAAGTGGAGCAGCTCATGCCATTTAAACTACCCAGAGCCCTCTAAGTGAGCTGCTGCTGTTGTGTTTGAGTGGGAAGCATGAGCTGGGACTGCAGGCACGTGAAAATTAAGGTGGCCCTTGGGATGGACTGAAGAATACCACTTTATTGTGGGTGAAAGTGGTGCTTTAGCTGATGTAGGAATTTAGCAAGATATTCAGCAGTGTTACATGCAGTGTTACATGCAGAGAGCAGGACAGGAAGAGGCTCAGGGTGTGACATTATCACTCTCTACAACTCCCTGAAAGGAGGTTGTGGCAAGATGGAAGTTGGCCTTTTTCCCCCAGGTAACTGTGATAGGACAAGAGGGAAGGGCCCTAAGTTGTACCAAGCGAAGCTTCAGTTTGGGTATTAGGAAACATTCCTTCTCTGAAAGAGTGGAGAGTTACTGTGACAGGCTGCCCAGGGAGGTGGTGGAGTCAGCATCCCTGGAGATGCTCAAGAAGAGCACTGAGGGATGCGGTTTAGTGGGGGTGGGTTGGGGTTGGACTAGATGATCTTTTCCAACATTAACGATTCTGTGATTCTGTTCTGTGATTCTTCGCTTTCCAAAAACCTGCTTCTTCCCTAAGCAGTCTTCTGCCAAATACGCAGTTTATAGAATCATAGAAACATAGATAGAAAATACCTCTAAGATCACCTAGTCCAACTGTCAGCCCATCCTCACCGTGCCTGCTGACCGTGTCCCTCGGTGTCACATCTACCCTTTTATTGAATGCCTCCAGGGATGCTGAATCCATGGAGAAGTGTCTGCTGTCTCTGGAATTAGAGCATGCTGTGTTTTTCTAACCTCGTAGACTGGCAGTAAGATTTCTACAGTCAGTTAAAGAACAGTGATTCACAGGGAAGAATCCAAAATGGTTGTGGAGGCACACTGAAGGGGCAGAGAAGTTCTATAAAGGAAGATGGGCTAGCATGCTTGGTTCTCTAGCCTGCAGTGAAGAGAGAAGGGTGCTGTGCTTGGTTAGAACTGAGAGAAGAAGGGGAATGGAGCTGGAAGACCATCTTGGGCAGGTCTGCAGGCAGGAGAGAGCAGCCTGCAGATTTCAGCACACTGTTTGCAGTTGTGCCCCCTCCTAAATGGCAGTGTCCAAAGCCTGCCATGGTGTTTTGCACTGGGCTTTCTACTCAATTTTTTAAAACCTCCCATCAGGCATCTGCTGGTATGGATGATCGCTGCTTCTTTCATTGATCTGAACAGATTAAAGTTTTTGCACATAAGAATCGTTTAGCGACGAGCTTTAATTTAATTAGTCTATGAGATCAGAAATTCTCCTTGAATCTCTGAGGAAGTTGCTTTGGATTGGAAGTTCATTAGCTGCTTTTGTCTGGCTTGTTCCCTGCCTAAATTAGTGTAGTAAATACACTTTGCCTGCTGGGGGAAAACCTTCATTTACAATTTACATGTTGACTCTCTCTTCAAAAGAACTGCTGTATGGTTGGTTTTTTTTTGTTTTTTCTTCCCAGACATCTAAAAGAACAGCTAAACACTTGTCTCTGACTTGGTTTCAATGGCATCGCTTTTGTAAAGAGCTTGTGAGAACTGCCACTTGTGCATATTTGGTGACTAACTGAATGAGGACCTCCTACAAACACAAGGCTTTGAGAGTCCCTGGGCTGGGGAGAGGCTATTCCAAAGGCCCTACTTAGCTTTTTGCCTCTTTGCTCTTGACCTTTCAGTGTTGCTGCAGGGTTTATAACTCCCTCATTTGGTATGCTGTGAATAAACCTAGGGGAAGGGATTTCAAGCTACTTTTCACTCAAAGGCAGGAAAAAAATGCCTGAGAACGAAAAGGGGCAATTGTAAAGTGTTCTTGCTAAGTCTGATCTGCTGAGTTTCTTGCACTGACATCATCGTGCTGTGAGAAGGAGCGTATTTCCTTCGCTATATCTTCTTCCACTTGTACAGTGGATTTAACCATGCACTGCTCTGCTGGGAAGGTTAACCCTTGCTCTTTGATTGGAGTATGATAGTTGAATCTTCCAAATTAACCCAGTAGTGGAGTGTATAAAACCCACCACCCCATAACTACGTTAAGCACATGGAAGAAAATAGACCAAAAAAAAAAAAAAAAAAAAAAAAAAAAAGACCATTTTCCCCAAAGGAATATTCTCTATGTGAGCATGCAGATTCCTATGCTCAGTTCTTCTTCTGCAGGTACTTTTTCCATAGCAGCAAAGTCTGGGGAGTGAGAAATGTGTTAAAGAAGTGGAGCAACGTAAGGCTGTAGATCCTTAATGTTTTAAAGGCAATCTGCCCTACCTGGATCATAGAATGGCTTGGGTTGGAAGGGACCTCAAATATCTTCTAGTTCCAACCCTCCTGCTGTGTGATGATCATTAACATTCTCTATATAGAGTTGACTTTCTGCTTTCCAAGTATTCAGGCTGGAAGTTCAGTAATGTTTGTAGCCAAGGATAATGCTTTGTTACCTTAAGAGAAAACAGGAGCTTAGCTTTTTTAACGATTAAATCTGTCAGTATCTATTGTTTGGTAGCTTGCAAAGCCTTTCAGATAGTCAGGGGAACATTGAGCATTCAGGCACGTTGCTCATCTGCATGCAGCAAGCAGCTCTGCTGAAGTCAGTAGAGCAAAGTGATTATTTTTGCAGTACAACAGTGTCAAGTTCTTCAAATATTAAATACTTGCTTCACTGCCTCTCAGCTGTTCCGTCCCACTTCCCTGTCTTAATATCCTGGATTTAAATCTGGGCTAGCCTCAAGCTCATTACAAATGGCATTGTCCTCTAGTAGTAATTTAGCATTATTTTTTATGGAACCATGCAAGGGAGTAAAATGAATCCAGCATGTCATAAAACTTGCATAGGTGGTAACAGGTCAGAAATAATATTAAGATTTTCACACCATTTGTTCAGTAATAATAATAATCTTTGTACACTTTTTGGTCACTAGAGTGACCATAAAAATGCAAAGCGCTCTGAAAAGCTACAGCCTTGCAGAGATTTTTTTCTTATTTTGTTGGGAGTTTTTGGATAGAATTCTCTGAAAAGCCAGCTTGAATTAAATAACGAGTCCAGGATTCCAAAGTCTTAAAACTGTGTTTCAGCAACTGAGAATTAGAAAGCAATTTGGGTAAACTTAAAACTATGGGGTTTATTGAATGACATGGGGAATAATTTGATATAAATTACATTTCTGTCTCAAGTTGCAACGCTTCTACGAGGTGCAGCTCATAACTGGAGCAGTTGGATTCTATGAGCTAACTCAGGTGTGCCCTTTTTTTTGTAGTTGGTGCTGCCATTGAGGTCCCATTAGGAGAAGATGCAGAAACTAGAAATGCTCTGATCTTTACTAGGCAGCTTTGTGTCAGTAAAAGATGCACTGAGCAAGTTCTTTATGCAAGGTCAAAGGAGAAGGGATTCGTAGGAGGCTGTTGTCGTCATGCTGACATTGTGTCTTTTGCTTAGGATGTAACTGGATGTCACTTAGAGGGAATGCAGATTTCCCCAAGAGTTTGCAGTAGGGTAGCTTGGTTATGTGATTTCAGAATCCTTTCTCTTGAAAACCTTCCTGGTGGTGGGCGATCCTTTTGAGTGTGCTTCTGTAGTAATTGCATCTTGTTTGTTTTCTTAGTCTGTGAGGCTTGTAACTGAGGATATGGGCTCTTAGGTGAGTGGTAACGGACCCTTCTGGAGATGCACACCCTCAGAACAGGCTGTGCTTGATGGCACCAAATGAGGGAACATTTAGAGTCAGTTTACCCTTAATCTTATTTGCAGCAGTTGCAAATCTTCTCTATTCAGTTCTTTTTAAATAGATGCTTATAAGCAAGGCTGGTATCTCCATAATCATATTACACCTAAATCTCGGTGCTGTCATGACACTGATTCAAGTATTTGCCTGACGTTATTTTTAAGAACAGATTGCTAAATGAAGTTGTATACCCACCATTTGAACTAAGCTGTGAGGTCATGAGGTGGTGGCATGTAAGTTACTGCCCCTCTCCTTGGCAGAGAAGCATCAGGAATAAGGAAAATCTGAACTTGTATTTGAATATTCAGTGTTTGGGGTTTGGAAACTTTGATATTTCAGGCATGCATGAGATGTGGAAGATTTCCCACTATTTTGATTGAAATTAGTAAAGCTTAATCTTGATTTGATTTCCAATAAGCTAGTGGGCTAGTAGAAAAAGAATGCCAGCTTGTTTGGAACACCTGAAACGCATGCCTAACTGACTCTGCTTTTCCCTTGCAGGATGTTGTCTGGGGATTAAACTCTTTATTTACTGTAAGTAAATGAATCCTTTGCATATCCACATTCTTTCTGTCTGCCTTGTGTGGTTTCAGCCTCACCTAATGTTGCCTCTTGAGGTCTTTATCCCTTTGGCCTCAGTAGGTGTTGTACAAACAGAAAATCAGTTTGTGCTTTTGTTAACTGCAGGACACGTACAGGTGATTTCTAATGACCATGTTTTTGTAGATTGCTTTTCCTTTTGGTTGCAATTTATTATTACATACTTTGATAATGAGTTACGCTATCTAAGGGACCTGCTGGTCAAATTGAAGGAGAAGAAGGGAAAGTATAGGCAGTGGAAGCAGGGACGGATGCCCTGGGAAGGACATAGGAATGCCATCCAGATGTGCAGAGATGGGATCAGGAAAGCCAAGGCGCAGCTGGAATTTAACTTTGTGAGCAATATGAAAAATAACAAAAAGATAAGCTGGTCAGAAGAAAAAGGCAAAGGAGAATGTACTCTCTCTGATAAATGAGGAGAACTGGAAGGAACAAACATTGAGAAGACTGAGGTACTCCATGAGTTCTTTACTGTGATCTTCACTGCTAGTTGGGCTTCCCAATCCTCTCATGTCCCTGAACCTCCAGGTGGGGTTTTGGGAGGACCAGATTCCTTCCCAAGAGCAGAGGAAGTCCAAGACTGCCTCATGAGGCTGAATGTTTACAAGTCTAGGGGCCAGACAACGTGCATCGTAGGCTTCTGGAGGAACTGGCTGATGTTGTTGCCAAGACATTCTTCAACATGTTTGAAGAGTCTTGTCAGGTGAAGTCCCTGGTGACTGGAAAAAGGGAAACATCACTCTTAAGAGGGAAAGGAAGACTCGGGGAACTACACAGGTTGGTGAGCCTCACCTCTGTGCCTGGAAAGATGATGGAGTAGATCCTTCTGGAAGCCACATTGGCATGCATGCAAGGTGAGGAGGTGGTTTGGGACAGCCAGGACAGCTTCACCAAGGGCAAGTGGTACTTGACTGATCTGGTGGCCTTCTATGATGGAGTGATGGCATTGGTGGACCAAGGAGGGGCTACTGATGTGATCTTACTGGACTCGTGCAAGGGCTTGGATATGGTCTTTATCTTTAAATTGGAGAAATGCGGATTTGAAGGCAGTTCTATTTGGTAGATAAACAACCAGTTGGATTGTTGCAGCCAGAGGGTTGTTGTCAATGGCTTTATGTCCAGGTGTAGGCTGGTAAAAAGTGGTGTCTTTGAGGGGTCTGTCTCGGGACTCGTGCTCATTTATCAGTTATGTAGATTGTGAGATTGAGTGTACCTCAGCAAGTTTGTGGACAACACCAAGCTGAGTGGTACGGGTAACACAATAAAAGGAAGGAATGCCACCCACAGGAACCTGAACCAGCTTGAAAAGTGGGTCCATGCGAGCTGAATGATGTTCAGCAAGGCCAGGTGCCAGACACGCGTACTGACTAGGAGAAGAGCTCATTGAGAGCAGCCCTGCAGAGCACGACTTGGGGGTCCTGATGGACGAAAAGCTGGATGTGAGCCAGCAGTGTCCACTTGCAGCCCGGAAGACTGACAGCATCCTGGGGTGGCAGAGCAGTGAGCGTGTTCCACGCCATCACCAGGAGTCACGGTGCGTTCCTAGAACCTCCACGCAGGCTGAGCCTGGGACTGGCTGCAGTCATCTCACTTTCACGGCTGCTAAAGGCTTCGTTTTAGATGGCTGTTTTAGTCAACTGATTTACAGGGTTGGACAGCAAAGAGTAATTGTGTTTCTGTTAGTCTCCCACTGCATGTTCAGTAACCAGAGGGAAGTTCAATCCAGTGGAGGTACAGAGATACAAAGAAGTCCCTTACACAACTGCACATAAAAATAATCTGTTGGGCAGACAGCAGCACATGATGGTCATGCATTAGAGACCACAGGGATCTGTCATGTCCTGGAAGAGCTGTGCTTTGCAGCTTGCTCTTGGATTTTCCTCCCACACTGCTTCTACAAATCAGGCGTTGTATGGCAGGCGTTGTCAGAGGAAAGTTTTGTTTCTGGAGGGAAGTGTGTTTCTGTGGTCCGTGCAGATTCTGATGGGGTTTTCATGAAGACAGTGAGTGAAAATCAGTCTGAGAGCAGCAAAGCCTTTCATACTGATGGCATGTCACTGCTCTCAGAGGCCAGCCTTCAGCTGAGGAAAATGGTCCAGTCTGCAGGCAGAGGAGGGTTTTTCTGTGACACCACGTTATTTTTGTGATGATTCACATGTTACCCATAGCTTGGCTTTCTTTGCTCTTAGCCCTGGGCACTTTCACCTTCTGGAGTCATTCATTGAGATTAAACTGGTGGAACTCAGATTTATTTTTGACTCTTTCTGCTCCTCGCCTTCTTGAGCCATTATCTCATGGGGTCTGTGCACTTCCTTTCCTTCTGGTCATGTGTTTCCCATTGCATTAAGCATTCCCTGTCTGTTGCTCCAATTTAGAGGGAATGAAATTGTGTTGCTCTTGTAGATGACATTAGGGAAATTCTCCCTGCTTTATCACCAAACTTAATTATGATTCATAGTACAATAAACCCTAATTAATGAAAATCATCAACAATTACACCTCCTGAAACAATGTTCCTTCAAAACTTGTTTTAAAACTCTGTCTCTTTTCAAACAGAAATGCATCACTGCCTGAGGAGTGTGTCATAGGGGCTGCATGTGGCTGCATGCAGTCAGATGAGATGGAGTGTCTTGCTGCTGTTGTCCTTTAACTGACGTTTGATTCAGTTTCAACTGCCCAACTTGTTTGCGTTTACCTTTGGCAGGGACCTGTACAGAGGATGTGAGATCATAAAGTCATAGAATGGCCTGGGTTGAAAAGGACCACAATTTCCTTCCAACCCCCTGCTGTGTGCAGGTCACCAACCAGCAGCCCAGGCTGCCCAGAGCCACATCCAGCCTGGCCTTGAATGCCTGCAGGGATGGGGCATCCACAGCCTCCTTGGGCAACCTGTTCCAGTGCCTCACCACCCTCTGTGTGAAAAACTTCCTCCTCATATCCAATCTAAACCTCCCCTGCTACTCTTGTTTGCTTTGCTTCTTTTTCTTGTTTATTAGCGCTGGGGAAAATTTGGAGGAAACCCTATAATGTTCTCTGGTTCTTTTCCAGGATCTTTTGAATTTTGACGACCCTTTGAATATTGAGGCTGCAGAACATCATTTGCGTGACAAGGTGAGTCAGTGGTTTATTTAAAGCATTTTGTTCCTTAACACACACTGTACTCTGTGATTCCCAGTCAGTCCTTTTATAGCATTTAAGCTGGTACTTAAGGCAGTAGAGTGACTCAGTCTATCAGCAACCAGATATTCAAACAAAAATAAGCTTGATCTGGGAAAGTAAACTCAGCACAGTGGTGGTATGCACCATATGCTCAAATTGTTGACCATAATGTAATCACATCCCCAGAATAGATGGTCTTTGGCTTCTTGTTTCTGAGATTTTCCCTGAAGCTGCATATGTTCTGTGGAGCAAACGATAGCAATTTTTTTCTGGCACAGCTACATGAGCAGCCTTTCACTTAAAGGCCAGCAAAAAGATCCAATCTCTCTCTGTCTCTTTCAAAATGCTGCTTTTTTGTTCACAAGCCTTACACGTTGCATGCTTTTATTAAACCTTAAGAAACTGGGGCACATTCGAAACCCAGCAGTGGAAAACTTCATGTTTAAAATACTCTTTATGATTTTCTGATTAGTGGCCTGATGACAAGCTGTGAATGTGTACCTCTCAGCTAAGTGTGGTGATAGATATGAACAAAAGTAATAATTTCCCCCTTACCTGGGTGTCTGAAGTTGCATCACCTTCCATTACATGGATGCATACCTTAAATGTATCAAATACTGACTTGGCATTTCAGGATTGCTTATTTTAATTAAACTCTTCTGGTACTTTTGGCGAAGTTAACCTTCAAGACTGAACAAAATTTGCAGGTAAATGTTGGTGTGAGGAGTTTGTTGAAAATGCAGAGTTGGGCAGTATATCTGATTTAGGTTGCATCTTCCCAGCTATTATTTGCTTCAGTAAGACCTTGTAGCCAGTCTGGTACTCATCAGTATTTGCAGGGTGGGGATGAGACAGTTAGCTTATGGTCAGTGAAAATTGGTAGAAAACTAATCTGGAAATGGTTTTCATTCTAGTTTTGTTATGTCCACATGGCAAATTGTGCCAGGAAACCTTCCAAGCCATAAAACAGCAAGTAGTTACAGACAGCCTGAGGAACAAAACCAGTGTGGTGAGGTGGCAGGTCAAAGCATTTTCTTTGTTTGCACTGCTAGACTGAATTATTCTCTAACATCTTGCCAGGAAGGTGTCTGTGTGTGCTCTTTGGGAATGGTGGGGAGGCTACATACCTGCTGCTGCATCTCCAACTCAGCATTTGTTTCTTCTAACTGGCAGAGGGGAGCAGTGGTGGAGTCTAGGTAGGTTTTGTAAGCAGTGATGCTCCCACGGCACGAGCACAGTCTTCTGTCAGGTCTTCTGAGGCTTAGCAGTGCTGCAAGACATCGAACCAGCTAAAGAATGGCAAAAAGAAGAAATCACTATCATGCATCTCCCAGGCTCGTTCAGAAACTGGAAACCTAGGGAACCCTAACAAGGGAAGAATGCTACGTGCTTTTGAAATCCCAGCTCCCTCAGAAGAGGAGTTCAAAATGTGTACTTCCTGCCCTAAGAATGTGGAAGCGTTTTCAGATAGCAGTTATTGAGGAAAAAGTTGAAGGGAAGTTGAGGTTTTTCATCAGCCTTCAAAGCTAAAAAAGGTTTTTGCACAGACCATTGTTTTTTGTTTTTAAACTTAGTAAACTGTGGGGTAGACTCATCACAGTTAACCAGTTAAGTGAAATCCATGTTCTACTGTGTTAACTGCTTTGGTGCTTTGTGTAGATTTGATGTTAGGTGAGTTTGACACATTCAGTGCTGAGTTTTTGATAGGAAGTGTTGGATTATCCATTGTATATCTTTCAAGCATCATGAAAACAAAACCAGTAATGCCTGCCTAGGGATTGCAATGGGGAGAAATGACTGGTTTTATTACAGTTGGGCTCAAAAGGATGTGATTGCAGCTTGCATTTTTGTCTCCCTAGGGAATAGATGCCATGTGGTGTCTGAGCACTTCATTATAGAGTAAAACTGCTGTGGTTCTGTCCCTCTCTTAAGAAAATATTGCATTGCACAGTATGATTAATAGGGGAATTTTACTGAATTTTCCCTAAGTCGTTTTTATGTGCATAATACTGTCATACAGATAATGTATCTGTGATATACATGCATGCTGTATTTACACATAGATATGCAAACACAACCGTATACAAACAGTTCTGTCTACAAAGATCTGTGTGTAGCAGATATCATAAGGAAATGCCTGTGGTCATTTGGCAGTGTGGGAGTATATGGCTTGTAGAAGCCAAAACAAATGTACATTGAGTGGTCTTTTGTGGTTCTCCTGGGGGAGATGACTTTTTCACTGATGCCATTTCAGATTGCAAATCCTGAGATCCTTTCACAGACATTGAAGCTTAGTGTGGCTGCTTGAGAAGTTAACAGTTAATCTGAAGCCTGTCTCTGGTTATTTAAAACGTGGAGCTGGAGTTCGTTCAGTTCTCTGGGCTGGTATTAAGTCATCAAAAATGCTTCTCTTCCTGCAGGTTCTCAAAGCTGTATTTGTAGTCACATCACAGATATCAGATCTCCATTACTGATCCTCGGAGAACAGCCATACTGTGAATGTTTGCATTATAGATCAGGCTTCAAAGGACACTTAGGATCTCTCTGCATAAGGAACTTAACTTTTTGCATTAGGTCCATGGCTTATACTGGAGCATATAGCTGTGGCTGTTGGGAAGGCAGTCTTGCCTGAAAACTGAAAAATGATGCAAAATTCAGAGCTCGAGTTCTTCAACTAATTGCTGTGAAAAATCCTGTCTTGTTTGACACCTGTGTTCGTGCAGCTTCATCTTCCATTCTTCAGGGTATCTGTCAGTTTGAGGAAGGAGCTGTCAGCTCCTGCTCAGCCTCTTCCCTGCTGATTCTTTCAGCCTCTGATCATCAGGTCACTTTTAAGTTAATTCTTTAAAATGCATACAATTGTTCATGCAGCTTTGGTAATTCTGCACTTCCTTGCACGTTTTGCAAGATCTCAGTAACTTTTTGGAGAGTTGTACGACAAACCTGGCCAGTCATCAGTATCCCTTCTCCTAAATGGTGCACTGAGCTAACCTCAGTATTCAGCCCTCTACTTTTCAGCTGCAGAAGTGATTTGGAGTCCTGGGTTATGACTGATTGCTTACATTAACAGACCTTTTCAGTGCCAGAGGATTCTCTGCCATCTCGAATGAGCTAAGTAGTTATTTCTGAGATAGGACCCCATTACTTGTCTCCTTTCAACTGATTTGATAAGGCTTCCATTTTCCATTGTAAGTTTGTCTTATGGCTCACCATCAAGTGATGTTGGGTGCTCCCAAAGCTTAATCACCCACATGGTTGCTTTTTTTTTCCCCCCACTCCCCTTCCTTTCAGCTTGTGAGCACAGTTCCCTATTCTCTCACAATTCACCTCTGTGAATGCTGTCTTCCTAAGTAACCTCGTTGGTATTGAAGGACTGCTACTGGAATAGGTTGCCTAGTGATGTGTTTGATGCCCCGTCCCTGGAGACTTTCAAGAGGAGGCTGGATCAAGCCCTGAGCAGCCTGATTCAGCTGTACATATTCATTGCAGAGGAGCTGGACTAGATGACCTTTAAAGGTCCCTTCCAACTCTAAGAATTCAATGATTCTCTCCAAAGCCTTCTCCTTCCCAGTAAGTCCTGTTCCCTCAGCCTCCCCTTGGACCCAAGCCCTTCCCAGCAGAGGTGTCCCCAGCCAGGGGAGATCATGTCCCATGGGCAGGGCCTTGCCTTTGGCCGTGCTGAGCCTTGTGGGGTTGCTCTCAGCCCCTCCTGCAGCCCATAAACCTCCCTGTGGAGGCTGAATTTGTCCCCAGCACGTTGACTGCATCCACTTCAGTGTCTGTATTTCTGTAGACCTGATGCAAACTTCCACACGCAACCATTGTTTTCAAACTTGGATCTTCTCGCAAACACTGACTGTGGCATTTCTTTATTTCATAAAGCCTGCAGTAGAATTTGTAGTTCCACATTGCTTTTCTTTTTCCCCTCTGCCTTTGTTTAACTGCTAATTGTTTCCAGCTTGGGCAAAGTTTGCATTGTTCATCTTTTGTGGAGCCGCTTTTTGGAGCAATTTGTGGTTTCCACATTACACTGCAGTTAGGTCATGATCGCTGGAAGATTATCATCCCCCTTTGTTTGAGAGCTCAGTAAATCAGAATTAGAAGATGATTGATGTCATTATATAAACTAAGCAATGTTTTTCCCATCATTTAATCTTCTCGTGCCGATAAAATCTCATCAGTTTGATAGCATGAGATTTCTTGCAGATTTTGAAGAACAACTTACTGACTAACAAGCTGCTTTGAATTTAGCAGAGCAGTCGGTCCATGATGGATGTGGATGCCAGAGCCATTGATTGCTGGTAGAATCAGTTCCAGGGATTCCTAAACAGTGAGGAAGTGTTCATGTTCTGAGGATTTGCTGTTTTGTGTAGGAAACAAACAGAGCTGTATTGATTCACTTTCTTTCACAGCCAAACAAGCTGAATAGTAGAAGAGTAGGGGTGTACCTTGTTGAGTGAGCTTAGCAGTTCAGGACTGATGTATTCCTTAGCTGGAGGTGCTGTGGCACTGCCTGCAGTTTGTTAGTTGAAATCTAGAAAATGCTTTCCACATGTACCTCTCGTGACTGTTTGCAGATCCAGTCTCAGGCCATTGCGTTCACTGGGTTCCTCAAAAGTTTCGTGCCTTGTATTTTCTCATAGTGTCAGCATTTGCCAAAGCATTTGCTCAAAGCCATATGTGTGCTAGCCAGCAAGAAAATTCATGGTGCTCTTTCACGTGGCTTAGGGTGCAGTATTTCTTCTAAATTCTGTTTAGCTTTCTTCAACTCCCGCACCCTGAGTGCTAATGCTGTGTCCCGTTTCCTGCTGGATTTGGTATAGTTTCAGTTGTCGTCATCTTGCAGATTAACAAACACTCATTTGGTTTTTCTTCCGTGTGTTGGCTTTGAGCAGTTTTAAGGGAGAAGCTGCATGATATCATCACCCTGTGTTGTGTTAGTGCAGATGTGA